CATGACCAGCCCTGCGGCACACAGTCCCCTGTGCCAAACTGGGTCTGGGGCTCAAAGGGGAGAAAGGGGCTGGCCAGCAGGATTCCCGGTGTGGGGGGCACCAGAGCTCCCCTGGAGGTGGCCAGACCAGGTCTCAGGTCCAGGCAGATGGGGCAGGACTCAGGAGGGGGGAGCCCACCACTAGATCAGCTTCTGGGAGGAGGTGCCATGCCCAGACCCTGCCTCGCCCGCAGAGACCCCCAGCCAGGAGCCAGCGGGCCGGAGCTGGGCTTCGACCCTGACAGGGACAGTCTGAGCTGGCTGAGTGGGTGGGTCTCCACTCCTACCACCTGGTGGTCCCAACTTTCAGGAAGAGGGGGATGGGGCAAGGCAGATTCTCCACCTGCCCTGCTTCTCTATGTCTTATTTGGAGACAGGGTCTCACTGAGTTGCTGAGGGCCTTGCTAAGTTGCGGAGGCTGGCTTGGAACTTGTGATCCTCCTGCCTCAGCCTCCCGAGCCGCTGGGTTTCCAGGTGAGCGCCACCAGGCCCGGCTCTGCCCAGCTTTTGACTTTGTTTCTTTCAGCTGGTGCCAGGCGCGGCCATCAGGAGGGTTGCTGAGCTCCGCTCCTGCCCCTGCAGCTCGCTGCTGGGCGACCCCCAGGGCTTCGCTTACTCTCTGGGCGACAGTGCACTCCTCTGGGCAGGGCCACTCTCATGATGCCTATGAAAAGGACGTGGCACCAGCACCAGCAGACACTCAGTGGACGCGGGCTCCGGGAACACGCTCCTGGCCTCTCAGCAGCGCCCAGAGGGACCTGTTAGAAACTGTGTCCCAACAGCTCTGCCGGCTGACCCCCTCCTATGGCCACCTCTCGCCCTGCCCTCGCTCTGCCCACTGTCCCCCTGCCCTTCTCTGCCAGAAGCTTTCCTGGGCTTGACATCTCATCTGTCAGGTCTCAGTCCAAATACGGTACCTCCCCTGCACCGGCTCTTTAGAGTTGCATTTAATGGCAGAAAGAGACAAAAGGCGTTTTGGGGGAGGGGCAATACAAGGGATGGAACTCAGGGCCTTTGCACATGCTCAGTGAGGGCCACCACCGAGCTACACCCCCAGTCCAAGAGGAACCTTTACCAAGAGTGAATCATGGGGCAGGGGACCATGCTGAAGGAAGAGAGGCGAGGGGACTTCTCACAGCTAGGTGTTGACCCAGATAAATGGACCACACACACAACAGAGAAATGAATGAATGGGTGCATTTTTAAGGTCACCTTCCGGGGGAGCCGTCCCTGGGCCGACCTTAGTAAATGAACACTGCTGTAGATTTTTCCCCCAGGCTGAAGATCAAACCCAGAGCCATGAGCCTTCTGGGCCGGTGCTCTGCTCCTGTGCTGCAGCCCCAGCCCCCAGGCCACTCTGTTTTGATCCATAGGCCTATCGAGGACTTTCCCCCGTCAGGTGTGCATTTGAGTGTTGTGTGTCCCTCTCATTGGAATTGCACTCAGATGAGTGAAGGATCATGTTCTGCTCAACCTCGTGTCCCAGAGTCTGAATCAGGGGACCCAGGCCAGAGGCACTGAATGGATACCTGTGGGCAGAGAGAGAATAACCACAGAGCTGCACCCACCTGCCTGACTCTGCACCTGCAGGCACTGCCCGGGGCTGCTGGGTGCAAGATGACCTCGAACACAGGACTGAGCCTGGCACACCACAGGTGCTAGATAATCTTTCAAATGAACAAAGGAAGGAATGACTAAAGGCCTTTGGCCAGATGAAGGCATTTCTTCCAGGAAGACAAATGAAGATTTTTAAGAGGAAAATGACAGAGCGGAGCAGCATACAAGAGATGCTCAAGTCACAGAAGCTGGTACAGTAGTCCCCCCTTATCAGAAGGGACATCCCAAGACTCCTGATGGGTAGTACTGACCCCTCCACTTGATGTTTTTTCCATCTATGGTACACTTTCCCTTTGCACCTAAAGGAAGCACTTTCTCTCCTCTTTGGTATACCAAATTGCCAGTGGCCTGCTGCTGTGCTTTGGGGCCATGTTTAAGTAAAGTAAGAGTCGTCTAAACACAAGCTACTATGCCACCGCAACAGTGGATCTGAGGACTGAGGATAGTAAGGGAATAACAGGCAGGTAGCATATACAGTGTGGATACCCTGGACAAAGGAACGATTTACATCCTGGGTGGGACAGAGCAGGATGACGTGAGATTTTGTCACAATCCGCAGAATGGCCCAGAATTTCAAACTTTTTAACTTTATTCATTGCTGGAATTTTGCACTTGATACTTTTGGGCCAATTTGACCACAGGTAACTGAAACCTCAGAAAGCAACAGCACAGTTGAGGTGGGCGGGACTACAGTGTGATTCATTACTGATGTGCCCATGGCTGGCCTGGGTCTCTTTATAAGAGCAGGAGGAAGAAATTTTTAAAAGCCCAAAGAAGAGAGGGAGGAAATTATTCCAGACACACAAAATTTCTATTTGGAAGGTTTTCTACAGTAATTATATAATTTCCCCTTTCTTTTCGGAAAGTCTCTGTGTGGGTCTCTTTTGCCCTCCCCATAAGACTTCCCAGTTTAGGGGTCACGGGCTCCCATCAGAGAAGCCACCTGTGGTCAGGAAGCCCCTGGCCCCCACATGGCCACTCGTGGCTGGAGGCTGGGGAGGGGTATCTGCCTGTCACCCTACCGGGCCCTTGGGCTCTGATCCTTGCAGTCCCGGGAGGGTTGTGTGGTGGAAGGAACCTGGCCTGGGGAATCTAAGGGCCCGGGTCCTGTCCCCACTCCTGACCTTCCCGCAATTCTCACCTGTCACCTGCCGGCTGTTGGATACGCCTGGTCACATTTCAACCACAGGCATCTTCAGGAAGCAGTTGGGACACACACACACACACACACACACACACACACACACACACACCCCGTTTCCCAGCTGAGCAGGTGAGGCCCGGACACTGGCGGCTCCAGACCACAGAGCACCTGCGGGAGGCCGGCCTCCGCCCCTCTCCCGGCCTCCCCGCTCAGCCTCGGTTTCCCTGTCTGTAAAACGGGGACACTGAAGACTGATTTTCGAGTTGGCTGTGAACACCTAATCCCTTCCAGAGTGGCTGGACCCCAGAAGAGGTCCCTCTGACGTTCTTGGCCCCCTCCCCGGGGAAGCGCTGGGTCGGCCCCCCTGGGACCCCAGCCTCACTCAGAGCCCGGGCAGGGGGTCGCCCAGGCTCCCGGTGAGCGGATGAGGAGGTGGCACGGATGGGGTGGCCCGCGGGGACCCGGGGCGCGGCCTGGGCGGGGCTGGCACGGCGAGGACGGGGTCTGCCGCCCCTGGCCACCGCCACAGCCTTCCGTCCGAGGAGGGCAAGCGCGGGAGGGCAGCGCCTCCACCTCAGCGTCGCCGTCGCCGTCGCCGGGTTTATTTTTGTGTGTGTGTGTTTCAATTGCAGCCACTCTGCGGTCCCATCCGGGGCCTCCTGCCTCCTCCCACCTCCTCGCTGGTGGCTGTCACACGACAGACATTTTTAGTGGTGACAGCTGGCCTTGTGGAACTCGGCTCGAGTACGGGAATGGTTTTTAAAAAAAGAGCGAGCCGAACCACCGCCACTTGAAATAGCAACGCAGGGAGGAGGGCGAGGCGCCGCCGGGTCCAGGCGCTGGCGCTGCTGCGCGGGACGGGGACCCCGCCGGGCACCGAGCACGAGCACCGCACGGAGCACCGAGCACCCAGCACCGGCTCAGCCGCCCGCCTCTGCATCTGACGGAGAGGGACCTGAGGCCCAGAGCGGACAGACGTCACTCCCAGATCACACGCTTGCCAGTGACAGTGACAGGCTCCAGACTCCAACCCAGGTGTGGCCTTTCGGAGCCAAGCTCTTCCCCTGATGGGGTCTGATCCCATACCACCCGCCGTTGCTGACACTGGAGGGCAGAGTGGGCTCCAGAGCCCACTGCAGGGGGACCAGCCCTCCCCAATAGGGACAGCAGGAGGACGGAGGCCCCCAGGGCCTGGAACCCACTTCGTCCCCAATGCAGGGACTCAGCTGACATTTGCAAAGGGACCCCGGGACACAAGGCAGGAGACTCCAAGTCCCCAGGCCCCCTCAGGATCTCACAGCAGCTGCAGGTCTGGAGACTCCCTCCCTCCAGTCAAACTAGGGTCTGTCACTTCTGTCCCCTTGATGTCCCTTTTGGAAGACTGAAATTGCCCAGGTGGTGGGGACACCCTGGGGACCAGCACAGGCTGTCCCTCAGAGAGCTGGAGGAGCCACTCATCTGCACCGCCGTCCAGTCCTGATGCCTGGTCTCCTGGGTTCCCAGGCAGCTCCTCAGCATCACCCGCAGCCCAGAACTGCCCCTGCCACCTCCGGCCCTGCAAAGGCTGGTCACCACAGGCGCCTCCATGTGCCCGCGGTAGCGTGGGAATGAGACAGAGGGGGAGGGGCGTTCTCTTGATGGCCCAGGCATGGCTGCCTCTCTGACAGGCCCCCTTTCCCTGGGCCTGTCCCCCTTTGCCTCAGGGTGACCTGGCACAGGGCACCGAGTGCCAGTTTGGCTCAAACTTCCCTGTTCTAGAGATTGTTTCTCCTGGTAAAACCTCAGAACGATTTCCCAGGCTCCAGGACCACCCTCCTATACCCCCCTTGCTGCGATTTTCTCCACACCACACACACACACACTCACACACACGCGCACACACACATGCACACACTCACACACACACACTCACACACACGCGCACACACACATGCACACACTCACACACACATGCACATACACGCACACACGTGCACACACAGGCACACACATGCACGCACAGAGGCACACACACACGCACGCACGCATGCACACACGTCCCAGGAGTGTTGGTTGAATGCGGGTCGGCCCCTCCCCCAGTACAGGCACCACGAGGGCAGGGAGTTGCCACAACATCCAGAGCCCAGCCCAGTGGCCGGCACATGCGGCTCTTGGTGTGCATCACAAGGGCATGAGCGTGCCCAGGGACACCTCAGCTGACTGACAGCTTCTCTGTGGTGTATTTCAAAGCAACCTGGAAAATTGCAGGTGGTGCTAAGGACTAGAAAACTGGAGGCTAAAGAGGACGCACAGAGCAAGAGGGAATTCTTGTGCTGTGGGGACCCTGGTGTAAGCACACCCCTCTACGTGCTCCTGCTGGGACTTATGGGTCTCTCCGTTAATCCCCCCAAACACTTTAATCCCCAAAGCTCCGCCCAGGACAGTGGTCCTGCATCAGGCCAAGAGAGTCCTCAGGATGGACAGGATGGCAGGATGGGGATGGGGAATCTAGAGGGACTTCAGGGTCTCAATGTTGAGAGGTTTCCATTCTATGACCAGGTTGTGAGCTGTATATCTGTATATGGATATTATCCTTAAAATATACTATATCATTTGATTTTCAATCTCATAAGTGAGCACTAGTGTTATCCATGTGGCTTAGTCAGGTTTCTGCTCTGATAGTGCTGTGTAACAAACAGCTCCACCAATCCAGGGCCTGTCGCATTTATTTTCCTTTTGTTGTGGTTGTTTGCTTTGTTCTGTGTGTGTGGTGCTGGGGATTGAACCCAGGGCCTTGTGCATGCGAGGCAGGCACTTTACCAACTGAGCTGGATCCCAGCCCTGTCACATTTGTTTTCATCTCACAGTTCTGCAGGTCAGCTGGAGTGACTTTGCTTCATTCTGTGCGTTGACTCAATTTAGCTCCAGGCCACAGGACAGATTTATTCAGCTCCATGAGTCTATCTGGGGACCATCCATTTCTTGGGACACATTGGTCTTGCAGCACATAGCAGACCAGGCCAAAATCCCAACCATTGTCCAAGATTATGTTTTTAAGATAGTGTCCTAAGTCACGTAGCCAGACCATGCTTCAATGGGAGAGGTGAGGGGCACTGGGCCTTCTTCCCCAGTCCCAGGCATTGCAAGTCATTTGGCAAACATAAGTGCAAAATTCAAGGATGAAAATTTGGGAATAATATCCAATCTACCCCCAAGAGGTCTCACACACAAGAATCCAGGGCCTTCCACAGGGACACAGGTGGCCCCATGTCCCACAGCTGCATGTGTGATTCCAACCGGGAACAGGTTGTCTGACCTCAAGCTGCTCTGTCCCCCAGGTGCCAGGTGAGTATCAGGTACACAATAGGTGGATATCATCCTTAAAATATACTATATCATTTGATCCTCAAACTCATAAGTGAGCACTAGTGTTATCCATGTGGCTTAGTCAGGTTTCTGCTCTGATAGTGCTGTGTAACAAACAGCTCCTCCAATCCAGTGGCTATTCTAAATCCCAAGTTCTCTGCTGAAGTGGACCTTCCAGACTGTAGTTTACTGCATGTCAACGATTCTTCCATGAATCTGTTCAATTATTTCCAAAAGAGAAACTTTAAAGAAAAAACATAATCCATTTAGAAAATGACACGTTAGTCCCTGGTATAAGACTTGATTTGGAAAGAACATCAGCAGAAGGTTGGGGCTCAGAGTTCACAAGTGGGAGCCAGAGTCTGAGAGACCTAGGTAGGGGCCGGGTGGACAGCGAGGGCCCTCGGCCTTCCCAGCAAGGCCTCGCTGGACACCAGGCCAAGGAGGACTTGATGTTCTCAAGAAGTGACAGCTGAAGCTAGGGAGAGTCTCCCGCTCTGCCAGACACTGGGGTCCTTGCTCACCGGCCAGAGAGCAGAGGGGTGAGCTGGGACGGTCTGCAGGGTCCAGGGCAGAGGGCCAGCTTTCACATGTGGATCTTATGTAGGTCCATGGTCACGTGAAGATAGGCGCACATGGGTGTGTGTTCTGTATCTTACACGAGATGCATTTCTATATCAGATACTTATAGACTAATAGATGTTACACAAGTGCATTTTGTAGGGATGTGTAGATATGTTGAGCAGACACTGGGAATCCCATGATGCCGTGTGTTTGGCACATGGAACTGTGTATGAGATACACGACTCTCCAGTGTGGAAAGGTGAAGGTGCCGATTTGGTTTCCTTCGGGGACCGCAGCTCGGTGTGGAGTGGGAATGGCCCTGAGAGTTGACGGCTGCGTCCTGCAGTGTCTGCAGGTGAAGCAGTATGACCCCTGGCCCTGAGACTGGCCTCAAAGTAAATAGGGAGGAGACAGGGTGGGGACAGAAATGAAGTGACACAGATGGCCGGGCGTCTTGGTGTGGCCGAGCGGGGCCTCACCAGCTCTCTGGTTTGGTCAGTGCTCACAGTGGTTCAGAGCGAGAATCAAGGCTAACCAGCTCCCACGATCGAGTCGAGCAAGGGTTCTCCCCGGCATTTAAAATCGTGGTAGAATCCATCCAGCTTCTTAACCGCCGTCAAGTGTCCAGTTAGGCTGGGTCACGTAGCGGTGCGGCCATCTCTGCTGTCCCCCTCTGAGTTTCACCCCCCTCCTCAATCTGAGTCTCTGTCCCCAGTCAACACCCACCCCCAGCAGCCCGGCTGCCTGCTCTAGGGACCTCACCTAAGTGGGATCACACGGGCTTTGTCCTGATGGCCTCTTCCCGAGCATCATGCCCTGGAGGCCCATCTATGATCTGTGTTGTATGGCTGTCCAAATGTCCTTTTTTTTTCTTTTTTCTGAGGCTGGCTTTGAACTTGCAATCCTCCTGCCTCTGCCTCCCAAGCCCCTGGGGATTGCAGGCATGCACACCACACCTGGCTCCAAACCGTCCTTTTTTAAAGCCAACTAATATTCCATTGTATGGATGGATGGCATTTAGTTCATCTGTTGTCCTTTAATGGACACCTGGTGGCGTCTGCCTTTTGGCTCTTATGAATAATGCTGCTACGAGCACGGGTGTGCACATATGTGGAGTTCTGTTTTGTTTTGTTTTTTTCCTTAAGATTCTATAAATAGATAATGGTGGTCAAGCTTTTTCAAATCAGAAGTGTGATCTGTGGCCTGACATTGTACACCTACTTATTTGTGAAGTCCTGGATACACAGCCCGTCCAGTCCCGGCTGTGTGAGGACACCAGGCACGCCGCGGCTCCCACGGTGAGCAGGATGTGTGCACCCGGGTCCGGGCCACCTGTGCGGAGGCCGTGGAGCAAGGGGCAGGGCCCTGGGGTGCAGCCGCGTTTTCAGGGAGTCTTGGCGGGGTGGCGGCCAGAAAGGGACAGTGCTTGCCACGGCTAAGAAGCCCAGCAGCCCAGCAAAGGGCAGGGGCATTGCCCCCATCAATGTCACAGCCCCACCCCGACCAGGAAGCCACCCCCAGCCCTCCAGGTCCTCCTCTGGCAGCCTCCTCGGAGCCCTGGGTGGGGCCACCCCTGCAGCCCAGCCAGAATCCACGGCCACCTGTCCTCAGGGCGCTGGCCTGCAGGCCCACTTCTGGGTGCCTCTCTTCACCCTGATCAGAGCCAGGAAGCGAGGGCAGTTCCCG